TTGCAATCGCTTTTGCGATTGCAAAACGATGTTTTAAATGGGGTTTTTTTTGCTGTGCAATGATCGGTGCCCTGGTTCGGGAACCGATTTTCACTTTATGATGATCAGCAAACAGCTGATTGTCGGGTTTCAAAACGGCCGCCGGCTGAAGAAAATCCCCCCCCCCGCTGTTTTCTAGGATGGATTCCTCGCTTTACAGGCACCGAAAATGGCCGCCGTATGGAGGATCTTTGCTGGATGAGTAGGTATTCAGATCATTGGAATGCATTGAACGGTTTTCAATGCATTTCAATGGGTTTTTAAATTTCATTTGACGTTTTTGCTTTACAGCGATTTTGTTGGAACGAATTAACGTTGTCAAGCAAGGCACCACTGTATAGGGGGAACTGCTGGGTAAATACGCTCAGAAACCAGGCAAATATGACTAAGTAGGTGCCATGCACCCTGGGGCCTCCACTTTTTGCTTAGCCAGCCAGACAGGAAAATGTATCTGGCAACTGCAGCATTGTGTCCATTCCTACTAAGGCTTACATCCTGCATGGCCTTATCTACCACCACTCACAGCATATGGGAACCTTTTCCAGGTCTTGTGCCACTGCTGCTTGTGCCCCAAAAAGGCTCACAAATCACAATGCTGGCGTTCCATCACTCCTTGCTCCAAATGTCAGTGTTGCCCCCAAATCACTCATCCATCAGCATTCTTCTCCACCTTTCCCCCCTTCTCCTCCATCCACTCTGAGATTATACAATTCATAGGTACCATCTGTTTTCAGGCCTATCACTGTTGCTTTTAATGTTTTTATCTTTATTTTTGTTTTCTGTTATATGTATTGTAACCGCCCAAAGTAGTGACTCAATACTACTGGGAGTGGGATGCAAAACGGATAAATAAAATAATAAATAAATAGATTAACTGGCACTTACCCTGTTTCCCCGAAAATAAGACAGTGTCTTATATATATTTTTTGCTCCACGAATGCACTAGGGCTTATTTTCAGTGGATGTTTTATTTTTTCATGTACAACAATCTATATTTATTCAAATACAGTCATGACATCTTCTTCTGGAACATTGCCATAACTTCCCAAACCCTAAATTCTGACCTGAATTTCTTGTGGGTGGCAGTGGTGGTGATGTTAGCATTAAGGGCCCCAACACAATCTGACCTCAAACCTCTTCCGCTACAGGACTGGACAGCTTCTGTCTCATTTCGGAAATGCACTTGCTGAGGTGCGGGAGAAGGAAGTGTGGATCCCACTGACTTGCATGGACCAGACAGAGTCAATTCCAGTTGCTACACAACAAATCTCTGGTAGAAGGTGGGGTTTCACATAACTGGGGCTTAGTTTGGGGGTAGGGCTTATATTACAAGCATCCTGAAAAATCATATTAGGGCCTATTTTCAGGTTAGGTCTTATTTTTGGGGAAACAAGAGTTGAGTCTCGATAACTTTAAAACATTAACAGGAGAAAGGACAAAACATGTCATTACTTGTGAACTGACTAACAAATGCATTCGATGAGATTAAAGAGTGGGAAAAGGAACACTGCGCAAAGAGGTGGTGTTTTCTTTGAAATCAGAGGTGGGAAAGGATGATTGTTTAGTGCTGGATTTATTGACCATCAACTCTGCGCAGAAAGGTCCCTCCCAGCCAAACAAGCTACAGGCAGTATGCAAGGCTATAAAAACTCAAGCACTTTTTGGGTGTGCTGACAGTGAACAAATACATATATGGACACCTTTGCACTGGGAACAGATAGACATGTCCAGACTACAGTGGTGCCTCGCATCACAACGTTAATTCGTTCCAGCGAAATCACTGTAGAACGAAAACATCGTGATGCGATTTTTAAAAGCCCATAGAAACACATTAAAACCAGATCAATGCGTTCCTAGAGGCTTCAAAGCAGGAACCGATCATCGCAAAGCAAAATTCCCCCATAAGGAACATTGTTTTGTGATCGCAAAAAGTTCATCGCGGTGCAATTTTGTCGTCAAACGGAGCGCCCGTCTTGCGGGGCACCACTGTACTTCCAGAATTAGTTTGAAGCCTCGTGGCACAGTGGTTAAAACTGCAGTATTGCAGTTAAGACTCCGCTCACAACCTGAATTCAATCACGACAAGCTCAGGAAGCCAGCTCAAGGTTGAATAGGCTTCCATTCTTCTGAGGTTAGTAAGCTGAGTACCCGGCTCGCAAGAGGAGTGTGGGGGGTGGGCAATGTGTAGCCTGCATAATTAAATTGTAAAACTACTTTAACTGCAGTTAAGACTCTGCTCACAACCTGAATTCAATCCCGACAAGCTCAGGAAGCCAGCTCAAGGTTGAATGACGCTTCCGTTCTTCTGAGGTTGGTAAGCTGAGTACCCGGCCCAATAGAGGAGTGTAGGGGGTGGGCAATGTGCAGCCTACATAATTAAATTGTAAAACTGCTTTAAGTGATATGGGATGGTATATAAGTAGCACACTTTTCTTTTAGTTTCTCTTTTTTTTGGGTAGATATAGCATTTAATTCTTCCAGCTAAGATGATCAATAATTCTAATGCATCTCAGTTATAATAAGTAATTACATTCCTATGATTAATTAAAAGTGATGTTCTGGATATGGATTATAGCAGCAACAATTATAGTATAGGAAAATTACTTTTTGGACTATAGCAACTAGAATCCCTGGGGGACTCTGGAAGCCATGGTCCAAAAAAGCAATTTTCCCAAGATCTGACAGTATAGTAGGAGAAGGTGTTCAATTGTTTAATTGATTCAAATTTCCTCCTTTCAAAGAAATAGCAGTTTTGGTGGGGACTTCTTATTAGGTAAAACTGTGGGACATACAGTAGTAAGTACCAAAGTCCTCTTTTCTCTCTGCTGCTTTGATCAAATAAGTCACCTACCGCTGTGTTGAACTTAAAATTAGCCATGAAATCCAATCAGGGATTTGATGTGTCACATTGTTTTGACACTTCATGAATGGATTACTACTACTAACACCTATGCTGATGTCATTCAGTTCCTCTTAATCTTTAACCCCTCACAAAACATGTGTGAAGGTCAAATGCTGTATCTATTACAGTTTACAAAGAGAAGACCTGACAGGGCAACAAGGCAGAAAAGCATTAAAACCCAAAATTATAGGGATTACACTATTTCCTTCAATAATGCTGGGGTTACGGGCGCCGGAGCCCTGTCTAGTTCAAAATCCATTTATAACTCTTATGCCCCCCAAACCTAACTACGAAGCATAAACAGTTGATTCTCTCTCTCTCCTCTCTCTCTCTCTCTGTCTCTCTCTCTCTCACACACACACACAGAGGGAGGACAGATGAGTTTACTGTATTAATTCTACGTACCAGATGATGATTACAATAAGGTACTGTATTTACAATTCATATTTACAAAGGTCTTCATCCTTGTTGTCATCATGTTGAGTAGGTTGATGGGGAGGAAGGAAATGTAACTTTATGAGAAAACATCATTTTTTTAGTCTGACATTTTGGCTTTTTCATTTCTCTAAAAATGTTTCTATACAGTAGCAATCCTCCCCAATGCCCAATGGGGCAGCACACCACTGTGACCTCCCTCAGCCTGTGTCAGCCTTCTGGCATGCCTCATCACCGCCTGGAGCTGCCATGTGGATCTCCCAGGACAGGACAGGCTGCCCATATCAGACTAGGGGCTGCCATGCCATCAACAGCAGGGGCCTTGGTAAATCCAAGACCCACCTTTCTCGGATCATTTCTTGAAGATGAATAGCAGCACAGGATTGACTGATTGTTTGAATGAAAGATGTATTTATTTATTTATTTATTCATTTACTGTATTTATATTTTTAAAAATCAGTGCAGAATCAAAATGACACTGCTCAGACCTGTACAGTTCAAGAGAGAAGTGTACATAAATGTCATAAATTGCCTGTGGAGGCTATGGCATTCTGGGAATTGTAGTAATTCTGGGAATTGTAGAATTCTGGGAATTCAGCACCACAAGATGTGGCAGCAGCCACCAACACAGCTGACTTTAGCAGGGATGAGAGAAATCCATGGAGTTTATCAAAGGCTCCTGGTTCTAATGGCTTTACGCCACCTCCAGGACCAGAGGTAGAACGCTGCCAATGCAGGTTTGTTGTAGAACAACAATGGGAGGGTGTTAACTTTGCTTGTTTTGTCACTGCTACCCAGATAATTCAGTCTTAGAAGAGATTTACATATATCATAACTATATGAAAAAATACAGTATGAGCTTCCTATAGTCATCTGGATGGATCTAACCTAGTAGGACTCCTGCATTCTTATCGGTGGATATCATGTCAGAATACTCAATTGAAAAGTAGGGTTTTCCAAAATCTTATTGCGTGAATTTTTTTTCTTTTTCTTTAGTCTACTTCATCCAACTATCTGTCTATACAGTCTAAGCACATCAATGTAAAATGTTAATATCTTAGTATAGCATTTTTTCAGCTCAAAAAAAATGAGCTGAAAAAAGCTGAAAGGATATGGAGAAATACCTCAGTTTCATAGCTTTCCCCCTCTCTTAAAATTAGCAGCTCATTTAAAATATTTCAAAGTGGCATGTATTCTTTACTGTCTACCTTTATTCCATATACCCTGTTTCCCCAAAAATAAGATTTAACCTGAAAATAAGCCCTAGTATGAATCTTCAGAATGCTCATAACATAAGCCCTAGTTAAGTGAAACCCCGCCCCCACCATTGTGCAGCAACCAGAAGAAGACATGACTGTATTTGAATAAATGTAGTAGATGGTTGTACATGAAAAAAATAAAACATCCCCTGAAAATAAGCTCTAATGCGTTTTTTGAGCAAAAAATAATATAAGACCCTGTCTTCTCTTCGGTGAAACACAGTAGAAATAGCAACTCCAAAATGACATTTTAAATACAGATCAAAATAAAAAATATTGGGTATACAGTATGCAAATAATGGAAAAATAAGCTGCAAGTGATGCACAATTTAACAAAAAAAAAGCACTATGGAAAGAACTCTTACCTGATTTGTATCAAAGATATTAAACACCTTCTCAACATGACTATTGGCCTCTGCACTGGCATTTGCAAGACCAAGCATCTTCTTGCATTCAAAAACGCTGAGCTGTCCAGATGGGCACTCCTTCATGAATTTGGCATACCATTGGCCGTTATCCAGAGCAGCAATGTCTTCCTTTGATTCACTGATACCCATCTTGTTGAAATCTGTTTGCTTTTCTCCTTACCTGCATTTGCTTCTGTACAGACCTGTACCCTCACTATCAATGGCCCACATCCAACTGAGATACAGGAAAACACTACGGACCATATAGCTGTGGTAAACCTCTTACATATCATTATAGATGTAGGCTAGATAAAAATAGAAATGGGATTACCTTTAGCACTCAATTTTAATATGGGTGGATTTTGTCAACAGATACCTCTCCTAGGTGATAATAATACCTGTAGTTTTCCTATATGCATTTGTAAAATACTGCTGTTATTTGTGGCATACTTCTAACTAGAAGGGAATAGTGTGTTATCTGATACTGTGAGCATTAGATGTCCTACTGCACCATGATTTGTGTGGTCAAAGAAGATCTGACTGTTTTAATAAAATTACAACTACTACTCATTGGTTTGCTTGGATCTTTATAAGCAAAACAGCAATTTTTCAAGATAGACTATCATTCTGTTATACTGTTTGGGGAGATCCTTAGCTTTTGCTGTAATACCTAGTCCAATAATAACCAGCTTTGCTGCAATACATCTTTCTTCTGGTTTCCTATCTGTTTATAGGGGACAGAATGAATTGCTTGTTGTTATTCCTAGGATTACATATAATTGAATTCTTTTTTAAAGTCTTCCTCTCCTTTCCATCAGACCACAGCTCATGTAACATATCTATAAAGGCATATTAAAACTTCCACATGAAAGTCATGAGGTGCAGCAACATGCAATAGCTTTGTCAGACTGTATTCTCTGATCTCTAGTCCTATGTTATATGTACGTATTCTTCTTTACTTAGTTTTTTGGTGGGAAAACAGTCAGAATGGTTATAATTTTTTTTAAATCACATCACCTGGAATGGATAGGTGGACTTGTATTCTCCTTTAATTAGTTTTTTTTGGTGGGAAAACAGTTAGAATGGTTATAATTTTAAAATCACATCACCTGGAATGGATAGGTGGATGAAAATTACACCTGAATCTGCTGGACATCATCCAACTTCTTTCCTATTTTGTTCCTTTGTCCTTGAGGATATTTTTATTGCAGAGTTTTGTATTGTAAAGATTCCTTTAGCTATGCAGCAGAAGTAAAGAGACTTACAGATGAGAATAGCTTTACGTTCCTCAGATAGTCCACCCCTTTCTCATTAACTGGCACGTAAAATCTCAGTAACTCACTTTCAGACATCAGTAGCAGAAAAAAAAATTAAAACTGTTCATTGCTTATAGCTGTGAACAGATCAGTCAGTAGCAGGAAAAAAAAATAAAAACTCTTCATTGCTTATAGCTGTGAACAGATCAGTGGTAAATAACCAAGCAAACTGCTTTTGATGGACTAAAGAGAGCAAAAGGAAACATTCAGAAAAGAGGTGGGACTCTCCTGGAATTCAGAGATAGTAGGGAATGATTGCTTAGTGCTGGGTAGATTGACAGTTGCTCCAGCCTAGGAAAGCCCATCCTATTCACTCAAATCACAGGCAGCATGCAAGGTTGCAAATCAAACTCCAACAATTTCTTGCAAAATTTTCTCTGTCATTTGCTTGGCAATTTCTTTGCCAAGCAAAAGACAGCAATCACTTGGAAGGTTCCTTCATAGTCTGTCATAAATCTAGGCAGCATTCTTTTATTGTACGTTTCTAAATGCCGATGAACACATTTTCTCTGAATGATGTTCAAGGGCCAAGCAAATGACAGCAATCACTTGGAAGGTTCCTTCACAGTCTGTCATAAATCTAGGCAGCATTGTTTTATTGTACGTTTCTAAATGCCGATGAATTTATCCTGGGTAAGTAATAAAGTGTGGGAAAGCTAATCAGAGAGCAGAAGTGGAGAGACAAGACTTGCAGAATCAGCTTTTGATAAACAAAGTAAAATTCTTAAAAACGAAACAATGCTTCCAAAATTAAGAATATCAGTTTATAGTCAGTGTATGGTGCCATTACTGACCTATGCAGCACAGACCTAGATTTCAACAAAATCCGTAAGAGAAAAGCTTGCAAAAACTCAAAGAGAAATGGAAAGACAGATGCAAAGTAACAGACTGATAAAGTAGGAAATTGGGTTATTTGACAAAATAAAAAACAAAAAGAACAAGACACATTTTTAGAATGGCGATAGGCAGGCTGCACTTTAAGATAACTAGATGGGCAGTGGAATAAAGAAATACATCAATGATGATCCTGGATCAGAAGGAGTTGAGAGGGAAATGGGGTTTCATTATAAGAAAAATGGATTCAGTATATCTCCAAATGGTGCACTGTTGTTGAATAGTTTGTGTTGTTTTTATTTTTGTATGTATGTTTTTTAGTGTAGTATTCTCTCTCTCTCTCTCTCTCTCTCTCTCTGTGTGTGTGTGTGTGTGTGTTTTGTGTTATGAAGTCAGAAACTACTTATAGCAACTCTAATAGGGCTTTCAGGGTAAGGGCCTGATAATGTAAGACAAATGTTCCCTACTTATACCCCAGTTAGACCGTTGCATAAAAGTCTAATCACACAACGCATGGCCATTATAAAATCATTTCCCCAGCCAGCCGTGTAACTGCAGTTTGTTTCCCCCTTGCTGGGAGGCTTCTGTTATTTTGTTCCAATGATATAACAGAATATTCTCTACCAATATTGTTTGTATGAACGTCAATCCCACGAAGGAAAATGGAGAAGGGAGAGTAGCCAGGAACAAGGCATCCTCTTGAAGAAGTGTGCCTGCCCCACGGGGCTCAGTGCAGGGGTGGCAGAGGGTACACCTGGCAGAGGGAGGGAGGGAAATAATGACAGAAGAGCTGCCACGCCAAAGAAGCGAGCCTGCCCCACAGAACTTGGTACAGGGGCAGCAGTGGCTATGTCCAGCCTTTGTTGACAGAGGGAGGGAGGGAGGCGTGGGTTAGGGACTTTATTTTATTTTTTAATGTAAGAAAATATAAAGTAAGGGGCTGCACTGTTCCCTGAGGTAGCTGGCCGTAACATTTAAAACAGGAAGAAAATAATTGGCATCATTAAACGAAAGGGAACCTTTGACCAGGTATATATATCATGTAATCACAATTAGCAGTGGATTAGTGGTGTGGGTTAAACCGCTGAAGCCTCTGTGCTGCAAGGTCAGAAGACGTGCAGTCGTAAGAGCAAATCCACGTGGCGGAGTGAGCCCCCGTTGCTTGTCCCAGCTCCTGCCAGCCTAGCAGTTCAAAAGCATGCAAAATGCAAATAAATAAATA